ATCTATCTATCTATCTATCTATCATCTATCTATCATCTATCTATCATCTATCTATCATCTATCTATCTATCTCTACTTTATGTGTGTGTCTGGTAGACGTATATGTGGTAGACGGTAGAAACGGTGTGAAGTTGGCCTACGGTAGAAATTTACACTCTACCGTCCTATCGTCATTACGTCATCACACCTGTGTCAAAAGTGCTGTGAGTGCAGAGACAACTGAGCAGGAGTTCGAAATATAATGAAGAAATTCTAGCATTTTAAAACACGTATAGAGAGAACAAATCCTCAAAATTTCCACCTCCCGCTGCAGAAAAGTTAGGTCGAGATCATTTCCTCCCTCCCTCCCACTGTACGTCACACAGAGCAAAGCTTTAACAACTGTAGTTTTTCACATCCAATTGTTGGATAAAAAAACTTGTTTTTTATGTATTGTTACCCACAGAGATTATTTTAAAAAAAAGACATAAACGTTCGTTCAGCCATAAATCCATCTTGCTAATGTAAAGTCGGCTTCTGCTCTAATGATGAAGATGATGAAGATGAGCGCGCAGCAGAGCAGCAGCTGATAAGTTCAGCAGGTGGAAGCTCATTGTTTGGCAGGCAGATATTAAAGCAAAAATGTTGGCTTTAATTAAGATTACAGTTCCCTACAAAAAATGCTCTAAAAATTACATTATCTTTACTTTTTATAACTTTATACCACAATATATACCGTTACCGTGAAAGGGTTCAATTTATACCGTGATATGAATTTGAGGTCATACCGCCCAGCCGTAATATATAACGCACATGTGGTGCTAAAACTTGAAGTGGTAGTAGCCAATCTTCAGCACATACTGAATAGCATCAGACTGTGTTACACCACATATTTTCAAGGTTTGACCAAAACCGCTTAAATGCCATCATTCATGAACACAAAATGATTTTGTATATTACTCTGGCATGAAAGGCTGTGGGTGATATGCATTCCTTCAAGATCTGTTGTGTCTTTAATCGATGTAATATATTTAAAAGCTTTCAAGGCATGGAATATTTATGGGTAGACTGACCTTTTAATTTATTAAATTTTCTTTCCACATTGAATGAGTAGAGCTATAAACAGGGCAGCATTAGCTGACACTGACATTAGCTTTAATATATTTCTTAGTTTACTGCTGCACATTTAGAGCAATAAACATTTAGAGGTCCAGTGATTGTGGTGTGGAAAGTTGACTTTTGTGTTCTCCTTTGAAGGAACACAACATCTTATCTTAAGAGCACATCTTGCTAGTTTCAGACAGGATGCCTCTGATTTTAATGTTTGCATCACATCTTCAGCACTGTTAAACAAAGCTTAAACTTTTTTCAAAAAGTGGAAATTATTCTATTTGTAAATGCACAACTTTAGAAAATGGAAAATGTCACTCAAAAGCAAGAATTGTATAATCTTTGTTTGAACAGACAAGTTATCGCAGTTTGTCTCAACTGAGGAATATTATTTTTGTTGAGTTAGACAAGTTTTACTGCCGAATGCTAAACTAATTCCCCATTCTCCCGTTTGTCCATGAAGTAGAACAATATAAAGAGGTTATTTTTTTGTGTGCTGAACATTTTGTCTGTCTTTATTCCTCTGCAGGGAGCCATCGTGGCCGTCACAGGTGACGGTGTGAACGACTCCCCGGCTCTGAAGAAAGCAGACATCGGTGTCGCCATGGGAATCGCTGGGTCCGACGTGTCCAAGCAGGCTGCCGACATGATCCTGCTGGACGACAACTTTGCCTCCATCGTTACTGGAGTGGAAGAAGGTAATAGACTTTGCTTTGCTTAAGAATTCATAACTCGGCTTGTGTTGGGTTTGAACTGAGCAAATAGATACGTTTGTTCTCCCAACTCATGTTTTTGTCAGGCCGTCTGATCTTCGACAACTTGAAGAAGTCCATCGCCTACACTCTGACCAGCAACATCCCTGAGATCACCCCCTTCCTGCTCTTCATCTGCGCCAGTATTCCTCTGCCTCTGGGAACTGTCACCATCCTTTGTATTGATCTGGGAACTGACATGGTACACAGAGATAGTTTTCAGCTTTTATTCTGGTCAATGTTTAAGGTTCTGTAAAATCCAGGTCTGCAAAAACTGAACACAGTTTAAAGATATATTGTATATTTGTTTTATCAATACATAAGGCTTGTTGTGTCCTGCCCTCCAGGTTCCTGCCATCTCTTTGGCCTATGAAGCAGCTGAGAGCGACATCATGAAGAGACAGCCCCGAAACCCCAAAACCGACAAACTGGTGAATGAGAGGCTCATCAGCATCGCGTATGGACAAATTGGTAAATGTAAATGAAAGTAATTTATAAATGTTCAACGTTTTCTTAACGATCTGACTAAACAGCTGTAAGTTTGGAAGCTAACATTTCCTTCTGGACTCCTCAGTAGCTGCATGGCCCTGAGATAGCAAGAAGAGCAGCATGCAACAGAAATAGACCAGAACTGATAGAGAGCTGGAGTGTTTGCGTGATGTGTGTCTGAGTAATGATAGACCAGTAATGATAACTGCCTTGGGCTATTGATTCTCTCCCCTCTTATCATCAAACAGGTCTCCAACCACCAGGCCAAGGACCAGTACTGGTCCATGGATCATTTAGGATCAGGCTCCACAGAAATAAATAAAAGTTACCTTAAAACTCAATATGTAGATTTTATTAAACAACGGTCTGAAGGATATTTTATTGTGGAAAATTACTGCTTTCGTTTGATAACATTTGTCCTCAGCATTTGATCCACCACGCATGAGGAGCATAAGTGGAACATCGGGCAGCTGCCTGAGGAGCAGTTAGGGAGTAGGTGTCTTGCTCAAGGATGTCGCGATGTAGGCATGGCAGGGAATGAAACCTGTGACAATCCGGTCCAAGTCTGCTGCCCTACTAGTGTACAGAATTCCTCTGTTCAATTCAGTTGCATTTATTTTTCATGTACTAGCCAACCTACAAGCTAATTCTAGCAAGCTTATAAGCTAGCTCTAACAAACGTACGAACTAACTCTAGCAAAACGACAAGGTAACTAAAGGGTTCATATTGGTGCTTGAAATCCTTGAAAATTCTTGAATTTAACAAAGTTTTTTTAAGGTTCATAAAGTGCTGGATTTCTGTATAAAGTCCTTGAAAATGCTTGATATTCTAACTGCACTCTTTTGTAATAAAGAACATTCTAACTGTTTGATTAAAAAACTCAGTATTTTTACATTAAAGGCACAAAACAGTGAGTACCGTATTTTTCGGACTATAAGCCGCACTGCCAACATGAAAAAAAAAAACAGTACACCCAAAATTGTTGTCAAAAAAGTGAATTCAACATMAAAACATAAAAAGCAAACCTTAAGGAATTAAAGTTCGGAGGAATACGGTTCATTTAACTGACTGTATCTTGGTAGATTTCTTTAACAGTTTCTGATCCAACAAAACAACGAAACGTCTCATTCATCTTCCTCCGGTGCTCTGAAACCATCGAAGTCCTCTTCAGTGTCAGAGTTGAACAAGCTCAGAAAAGCTTTGTCATATAGAGGTCTGTTCAGCGTTGCTTTCTATGTCACTGTTATCCCGGTGTAATGCTGGCTCTGAAGCTGTTGTACCCTCTTCACGTAGCAGTCCAGCCTTTTGGAACCCGGGCCGAGTTTACGTGCACTGGCTCTATTTCCCTCCTGTCGTGCAATTTCGATAACCTTCAACTTAATAGCAGCATCATAGGAAGATCTTCTATTCTTTTCCATGATGAGCGCATTTGGATTTGAGGAGAAATATTTCATCGTGTCTGTCGAAGATTAATCCGTCGTGTCATGTCTGCTACTAGCTAAAACAAAATGGCGCTTTCATCTTCTTCCTTTTATTCGTGGCAACCACACCTCCGGCTAAAGAGCCCCCTGGTGGCTGAAGAAAAAATCCACGTATAAGCCGCACCGGACTATAAGCCGCATGGTTCAAAGTTCAGGAAAATTCGCGGCTTATAGTCCGAAAAATACGGTAATCATTTTATCACTTGGGCTTTGTTCCTTTTCAAAATGCCGGCGTGTGGTCTTTAGAGCCGCTAGAACGACTAACTTATTTTTCAACATAGGATGATTAGTTGAAAATCTGGTATGAAAGGCAGCGGGTGATAGTCATTGCTTTAGGAAATGCAAGGTTTTTATTTTTATTTTAATTAATCCAGCCGAAATGAATGTGTAATTTCTCAGCAGATGATTATTAAAGTCATAAAGTTTCCACAAAAAAATAACACAAAGTGTCAGTCATTTGTTGGTTTCAAATCAGCAAATTAAACCCGTTTGCTGATTTTTGTCTGCCATCAGTCGAGGGTCAGATTTCCTCACCGAGTATCTCAAATCCTGCAGGAATGATCCAAGCACTGGCTGGCTTCTTCACCTACTTTGTCATCTTGGCTGAAAACGGCTTCCTGCCTTCCACCCTCGTTGGCATCCGAGTAAACTGGGACAACAAATACATGAATGATCTTGAGGACAGCTATGGACAGCAGTGGGTTAGTCACTTTCATCAGAAGAGACATGAGTAACTTGTAATTTTTTTGTCTTTAAGCATTGGGAGGGTTTGAAATCCTTTGTAATGTTTTGTTTTCAGACTTATGAGCAGAGGAAGATTGTGGAGTTCACCTGCCATACGGCCTTCTTTGTTAGCATAGTCATTGTGCAGTGGGCCGATCTGATCATCTGTAAGACCAGGAGGAACTCAGTCTTCCAGCAGGGCATGAAGTGAGTAAAACACTGGTGTCTCTTCATGTATTTTATCATTGATGGAAGGAAAAAAGCAGGTGATAATGAATTTGCTCGTGTCTGTTTGCAAAATATCTTAAAGATGATGAATTTATAGATGGTGAATGTTACTTTTATTGACCAAGCACAGGGAAAAAAGTATGGAATCACTCAATTCTGAGGAAAAAAGTATGGAATCACTCAAACTGGAAGTAGAAAATAAGGACACACCCAGTGAGTTTCCTTTCCCTAAATGGACACCTGCCTCAGATTAGATCTGCTCGTTAGTCTGCAGTTAAAAACACCTGCAGTCATGACACCTTGGAGGGCTGCTGGACGAAGTGGAGTGGCAAGAAGCATGGCTCCAACAAGAGAAATGTCTCTTGAAACAAAAGAGAGGATTGTGAGACTTCTTGAAGAAGGTAACTCTTCACGCATGGTTGCTAAAGATGTGGGCTGTCCACAGTCAGCTGTTTCCAAGATATGGACCAAATACAAACAGCAGGGAATGGTTGTTAAAGCCAAGCGTACTGGTAGACCAAGACAGACATCAAAGCATCAAGACAAACAACTTAAGGTCATTTGTCTTGAAAACAGAAAAAGTACAACTAAACAGATGAAGCATAAATGGGAGGAAGCTGGAGCCAATGTATGTGACCGAACCGTAAGAAATCATCTAAAGGAAATGGGATTTCAATACAGGAAAGCTAAAAGAAAACCATCATTGACACCTAAACAAAAAAGAACAAGACTACAATGGGCTAAGGAGAGGCAATCATGGACTGTGGATGACTGGATGAAAGTTATCTTCAGTGATGAGTCAAGAATCTGCATTGGACAAGGTGATGATGAACTTTTGTTTGGTGCCGTTCCAGTGAGATTTATGAAGAGGACTGCCTGAAGAAATCAACCACATTTCCTTGGGCTGCATTTCAGGCAAAGGCACTGGGGAGATGACTGTGGTTGATTCTTCTATCAATGCACAAGTTTACATTGACATTTTGGACAGTTTTCTCATCCCTTCAATTGAACAGATGTTTGGAGGTGAAGAAATAATTTGCCAAGATGACAATGCATCATGCCATAAGGCAAAAACAGTGAAGGCATTCCTTGGAGAAAGACACATTCAGTCGATGTCATGGCCTGCAAATAGTCCAGATCTTAACCCAATTGAAAACCTGTGGTGGAAATTGAAAAAAAATGGTCCACAAGAAGGCTCCGACCTGCAAAGCTGATCTGACAACTGCTGTCAAGGAGAGTTGGCACCAAACTGATGAAGAATACTGTTTGTCACTCATCAGTCCATACCTCAGAGACTGTAAGCCGTTATAAAAGCCAAAGGTGGTGCATCTGAATACTAGTGATGTATTTTGAATGGTCTTTTTTATCTTTTTTTCATGATTCCATACTTTTTTCCTCAGAATTGAGTGATTCCATACTTTTTTCCTCAGAATTGAGTGATTCCATACTTTTTTCCTCAGAATTGAGTGATTCCATATTTCCCCCCCTGTGCTTGTTCAATAAAAGTCACATTCACTGACTTCCACAATGTTTTCTCTTCATTTCTTTAAGTGTTCCTGAAAGCCAACAAGTTGCACTTTGGAATGACCTTATTATTGTATCATGTTTTTGATCTGAGTTTGTTTTACAGAATGAAATGTCTGAATGAGTGCTCATCCAAGACTGCTGATTCCATACTTTTTGCCAGGGGTTGTAGAAGGCAGTATTGTTTGTCAACTTGCCAACTATTCTGGCAAAATACAATTGTTAGTTCTTGCGACTGTGTCAGCATTGCTGGGGGTTAGGGTTAGCCATTTTGCTGTTTAGTTTTGTCATTTTTAAGCACAACATGGTATGAGATGTCATTTCTCATCACAAGATGATCTAGTTTAAAACTCTGGCATAAAAAGATAAGAATTCCTTCAACAAATGCTTGGACTTTTGGGAAATACCTTTTTGTTTTGTTTGTTTTAGGAATAAGATCCTGATCTTTGGGCTGTTTGAGGAGACCGCCCTCGCTGCCTTCCTCTCCTACTGCCCAGGCATGGACGTTGCCCTCAGAATGTACCCTCTCAAGTGAGTATATTCCCCCAAAAAACTCCAGCCTCATTAAGCCCAGTGCCGACTCTGAAATCGCTAATACTCCAACCTGTTGTTCATTTAGACCTGAGAGTTTGGATTTCACCTGTTTTTTTTTTTTGTTTTGTTTTGTTTTATTTTTCTTTTAGGCCCAACTGGTGGTTCTGCGCCTTCCCATACTCCCTGCTCATCTTTATCTATGATGAAATCCGTAAGCTGATCCTCAGACGCAGCCCAGGAGGTGAGATCGGAATCCATGCTTTTTTGTTATCCTTGCTCTCTCTTAACGAGCAGATTGTTTTTAAACCTGGAGGCGGAGAAACTCGAATCTCTCCCTCTTGGTCTTTAAAATAAAATTCATGACCATTTTCTGAAAGATCTGTTTTTCTCTCCCCCCTTTTTTTTTTCCAGGATGGGTGGAACGGGAGACCTATTATTAAAGAGACCCGTCTGCTCACATCCTCTCCTCCTCCACTCTCCCGTCTTTGCATGAATATTGTCTTGCTGCTCGGAATAAGAAAAAAATTTAACCTCTGTGACAAATAAATTGGAACGTGTTTTTTTACATTAGGGAATGCTTGATACTACTATTAGAGAAATACTGAGATGGAACGTGCTGATGATGTTGATGATGATAAATGATAATGCTAATAATGACATGAACACTGAACATTGACATGACTATGCGTGCCTTGTTTCTGAAACAGGACCAATTTTATACATGTTTTTAACAGTTATGATCGTTCAATAAAAATGCGCTCGAGTCAGGTCCCAAAACTGACTTCCTGTCTTCATTTATTGATATATAGTTGTTTTTATTCACAAATCGCATGGTTCTGTTGCTTGTCAATTAACTTGTGTTTTTTGTTTCACACCTCCTTTAGCAGCATTACATTAACGTCAGTTAAGCGAGTAGTTAAAACAGCTCACTCACCAACTTCAAATGTCCAAATCCTTTGTGCTTTTTGTGTATTTTTCATCTGTTACAGTCTTGATTAAAATGTAAATACAGACATTTAATTTAATAAAGCTTAGGTAAATAAGCTTACAGACAATTCTACTGGTACTGAGCTAAAATTTTGTGTGGGAGCAACTGACAACCATTCACAACATAAACTAATGGCAGTAACTGTCATTTATCAGTGTAAGCTTAGTCAAAAATATTTATTCTGTCAAGGAATGATAGGTTTTTTTAATTTCTGCTCTTATGAGAACACTTTTTGGTGTTACATTTTGACACCTTCCAAAATAATTCCCTAGGAATTTTTTTATTTTTATTTTTTTTTTTTTGTGTGTGTGCATGGTACATTTTTGGTTAAGATTTTTGTTTTTCCTGAAAAATGTGGTAAAAATGACATGCTATTATTTTAGGAAGGTGTTGATCAGGGGTGTAAGTGTTCAAATTTGTTACTCAGAAGTATGAATGTATCTACCAGTACTAATGTTTAACAAGACTTATGTAGAAGTGGAAGATTTTTACTTATGTTAAAGTGTAAACTATTGGATTTAAAACATAAAATATAAAAGTAAAACCTGTTAAAATAATAATAAAAAAAACCATTAAAGTGAACATATGCTTTTATATCATTCCTTTCACATTTAAATCATACAGTCAATGTCTTAAAGTGAAACTACAACAGTTCTTTGGTCTGAATTCATCCTTATTTTAGTTTTACCAGCTCCTTTCACCTCTTGTAATGTGTGACTCAAAGCATATATGACATGTAAAGTTTGAGGGCCAAAATGTGCAACCAGCAGTTGCTTCATCCTTGTACCAGGAGGTTCAATCAATTCCTAAGCCAGCTATTGATATGATTAATGATAGGCAGGTACCTGAGAGGTCGGCGCTGGCAAATAATGATTTGATTTGATTTATTGATTTAACAGGAAAAGATTACTAAAAATCAAGCCTGACTCAGCATAATTGCTGTTTTACAGCAGGTTCCTGTTCTGCAGCACATAAACACTCAGAAATACAGCATCACAATCACATCATTATTATTACACTATAGACACAAAGACAAACAAGCATACCAAATTTCAAAAAGGCAGCATTTGCAAAATAGGATGTCTAAATATGAGCACAACAAATGATGAGACTATTCATTTGCATTGGAGAGGCCAGCGACTATTATGCCTAGCGTTTTTGAGTAAAAACTTTCTCAACAAAAATGGGTGACATACAAAACCTATATTATGAGAGAGGTTCAGAGGTCTCAGGCCTCACGCTGAAAAAGAAACCCAGGAGTGGGCCATGTGGGCAGCTGAGGGAAATGGGAAAAGATACACCTGTTTTGTTTTTTAAAGGTTTTGTTTTCATTCCTGAGGTTACATTCAGAGCTGAGGTGCTTCTGTCAGTCATTACAGATGCATCTTTGTGGCCGCTGATTGGTTCAAACTAACAGTATTTCACGGTCTGACCAATCAGAATGTGTATTGTTAGTTTTGCAACGTGTGCTGTGACGACTGACTGCCTACACGTCGGGTCAGAAAGAAGAGCGGTGCTCATTAAAGTGAATAAACTGTATTTGTCAGAACGAGTTTCAATAAGAATATGAGGTCATGAATCTGGCAGAAAATTCTGAACCAGTTGCATGAAGATGAATCTGTTGTCCACCACCTCAAAACGTCCTGAGAGGAGGAGGAGGAGGTGCGGCTCCCTCGGCTGGATGCTACGTTAGCTGGAGAGGAGCAGATAAAGTGGAGGAGCAGAGAGGACCAAGGAGGTGGAGAGACAAGTCTGGTGATCACCTGTAAAACACTAGCCTGGTTAAAACCAGACCCATTCCTTCATTTTACTTCATAAGGGTCTGGACTTGCTGCATAGAGAAGTGATTCTTGCAGGAGGCATGGCCTCTGCTGAAGCATGTGTGTTGTTGCTGTGATGGAGGCTAAGCTAAGAAGCTAACCGGAAATCGCGTGTGCTGTAAACAACCCTACTGAAAGGAGAAAAGTACCGAGCTGAACGAGACGACTGTAAATGAGAGCTGCTGCTTTGTCAGACAAATTTAATTTAATTTGAAGCCTTATCAACACAGACTGGCTTCATTCACTTCCTCCACTGCCGTATGCTAAAATAACTAGCAGACACTGCGCAGAAAACCAACGAAGTTCAAAACTCCGCCTTCTGTTTGCTGATTGGTCCAGGTAAAATAAACTACAAGCAGACACTGCACAGAAAATTGACATTCTGTTCTGATTGGCCCAGTTAAAGGTGAAATCCTTGTCAATGGGAGAAGTCCCAGACGGAGCAGTGAAGGGAAACTAGAATAGCCTTTTACTGACATATTTCCGGTAAAATTCTTGCCACGCTCCTCCCTTCCACTCCCTGCTTACTGCCTATGTTTTTACTGTTAGCTCCTAGAACTAGTCAGTGAAAAAGTCACAAACGTTGAAGCGTCTGTGAGCTACTGGTATAAAACGTGAGTTCTGTTGTGTGCCGTTGTGGCCACTAAGCAGCAGGTACGATCGAGTAGTTAGTTTTTATCCATTTTCCTTTAGATGAGGAGGTGAAGCAGAGGATCATAGCATTACAGGGAAAACTTATCTTTAAAAGCTCACGCTTGTGTTTGTAATCAGCATTTCTAACCTGAGGATATTCAAGAGTCAGCATCAGAAATGAGAAGACRGVGGTTMYAAAAGGGAAATGTACATTTATCCCCTTTTACTGCCAAGACCAGAGAGGAAAGACCTCCAGAGGAAAGCTAGCAGGAAGCTAACAGCAGCCGGTAAAGATAGGTGTGTGCGCGCGCGTTTGTGTTCTATGAAATGTTTTTATGCGACTTTGTCATGAGTTTTATGCAAAAGTAAAACCTTGTTAGAGTGTTTATTACAGCGTAGACTAAAGCTGAGTGACGAGCGCCCCCGAGCACCGAGAGCAGCAGAACCTCTGCCTGATAATCATTACGTTTTCAGTTCACTAACGTCGGGGGAAAACAATCCAAACCATACAACCCATCAATTTAAAGCCCAGACTCTGCTCTTTCCAACAATATAAGTGTCACAGCTCTACGTGAAAATTTCACAGAACAAGCAGCCACAGAATAGTGAAAAAGGCTAAATTCTGGAACCATAAACACAAACGTCTTTCCTTTGTTTTTATGGCTTTAATCCACTTTAGAGTGATTTTTTTTCACTTGGCTGGACCTGTACGTCTCCTGTGTTAATGTTGGTACATGTAATATGCTAATTCTGTACAGTGGAGATCATTAAGAGTTGTTGTCGGGTGAAAAAAATCTTTCACTAACACTGTGTTGACCGTGAACCGGAAGTGTTGGGAGTGGCATCCAGTGCTGGGCCGGATGTCCGTGGCATTTAGGCTATTGAGCGGAGCTGCGTAGGAAGGCAAGGACCAGGCTAGTAAAACCCTGACCCGGGTCACTGAGACAGCATCATCGACCAACAGGTGTGTGGGTTGTGGAAGAAAACGAGACAGGTGTTCTGTCTAAAATTGATCAAATAGTGCGGGAGCGCGCAACATGTTTTATTTGTAGTCATAAATAACTGAACTGTCACTTTTAGTGATTTGTTTTTAAGTTGGTTTCATGATTTTTTTGTGAATTTTAATACTTTGATGTTTTTATTTGTTAACTGTATTTTACACTTTTATTTCATGTTGCTGAAAGCCCATCTAGAGCTGGGCATTGCAAATTAGCTCTGGCTATAAATGTTGTAGTATTAATACTTGACACTTGTCCCTATTCAAATAAACAATAAATGAAAAATGAAATGAAATGAATGAAATTTTGATTAACCTTTTCTGCTGCTTTAGTTTTTTTGTAAATAAAACAATATTAACAAAATATATTTGTATGACCAGCATTAAAGCAAACATTTGTCTCTATTTAACCTTTAATTTTTTTTCCCTAGAACTCGTAATATTTATTCTGTAAAATTGACACTTTTAAATGTAACTGCAAATTTGAATCTTGCAAAGAATTATAAGAAATAGTTTTGTTGATTTAGATTAGCCTACCTTAATTTGTTCAGCTTGAAACTATATGGCATAACTACTTTGAACAACAAATGAGCTTAATTTGATACATTTTATGTTTTATGGCTGCAAAAACAGATTCAAAGAACAGAACAAATGAACCATTTTGCAAGAGGTTTTTATTGTAACCCAATTAAGTGAACGTTTTGGAAACAGTTACTTTATTTAAATTAAATACTTTCTGAGACAAAGTTGCCTCTTTAAGTGGTACTTCTGTCTAAGTTTTTTCAGATAACGTTGTATAGTTTCCAAAATCTGGGATGCCTTAGCTAATGTGTTAAAGCCAACAAGTATGTAGGTACTGATCTCTTTTTTCCCATTAAACACAGTCCTAAATAAATATTTTAAAGAGTAACTTACCCCAAAATTAACTTTTTTTAGCTGATAAACTGTCTAGAATG